GCATCCCAAACAAACCCGTTTGTCAGAACGCATTCAGGGTCGCCCAAACGGTCTCAACAACCTGCCTGTGGTACGGAGCTACCGATGATGCGATCGAGGCCATACTTTTTGTTTTGCTTTGGCTTGGTCCCAGGTTAATGGATCTCAGCACCCTGCTTCTTCTCCCTGTCAAGAGTTTTGTTTCTTTCCTTCTGCTTTCTGTGCTTTTTGTCTTCTTCTGCTTGAATTGCTTTGCATGTTTCACGGAAACCAACAACGCCCATGTTGCGCGAGCACATGACTAAGGCGCAGCGATCATAAGCTCTATATAACCCCAAGCCCACCCAGTTCAGTTCAGCATGTCTTCAGCACAGTCTCAAACCCAGCGTTGTTGCCTCTACCTTGCCACATTTCAAGTGTCTCATTTTGGTGTCGCACGGAAACACCCGGCGCTTGTTTGCTTCAGATGCTCAGCTGAGGTCAGTTGCAGGGCAGTGTGGGTCAGGTGCGAGGGATTTTCGAGGGTTGGTGTGGTGCCTGTGATGGCGGAAGGCGGAAGGCGGAAGGCGGTCACCGCAAGCCGGCTGTACCCAGCCAACCAGATCACCAACAAAGGTGTTCTGACCCCAATCTCAGTCTGACTGGGCGGAGCCCACTCAGCTGTAAATGGGGACCCCCCAAATGGTGGGTTTTTCCTTGTGGTTTTCCTTTAAAGCCACCCCGAAAAAAGGGTACCCTCAACCCATTTGCCCAATGGTGCCCTTTTTTCCTTTTGTTTTGGATGGCTTCCCTTGAAATTCAACCAAAAAATGATGCAATTTTTTTCCTGGCCACTGGGCATCTGAGTCAAAACATGGCAAACGGGTCTTTCATTTGTTTTTTGGTGGCTCCCTGGACCTACACAATTGAAATGGAGTCACTGGGAAAGGAAACGGGGCAGCGCCAGGCAGCCTTCTTGACCTCGTGCCTGGCAGGTCCGAATCGCCGAACTCCGAAATCCGCACTCGATCGGAACGGATGTCCAACCCACCCAAGTAGGTTGTGTCTCAAAATAGGGCACCCCTCCAAACAGGTGGTTTCATTGTGGTCTCCCTCTAAACCAACCCCAAATGGGGTATAATGGGGTACTGGTACCCTCAGGAAGAGACACACCCGTTATGGCCATGGTTGTAACCGGGGCAGCTGGGGTTCGTTCCCGACAAAGCACCAACCCGGAAGGGATTCGAGCAGCGGACAATATTGGGTATCGGCTTTAGGAAGGACTTCAGTTGCTTTTGCAGGTTGATGGGTATCGTTTGTTCAGTTTTGCTCATTGATCTCTCCGATAGTTGTTTCTTACATGAGGCTCACTACAGTAGATGTGGACCAGAATCAAGCACAGTATTTTTGGTTGAGGGCAACAGCCGGGGCAGAGTTGAACCGCCGCGCTGCGGATTATGGATGAGGGATCTCAAAAAACATTCGAACAACGCGGCTTTTCATTCTTTTTTTCAGTCTGACGGCCCTCGGAAAGTCCATCAAGTATGTGGTGTAGAACCCCTTGTGAAATGGGTGTCCATATCGGTTTCCATGGGAGACATGCCCGGATGGGATACCCATATTGTTGTGTTTTGGAGACCTTGTTCCCGACCCCATGCTTTACACAACTTGGAACAGCATGCGACTGAGACGGACTCAAGGAATGAGGACAGTTTCTCTTTGCGGGTTAAGAGGATGATTCTGAGTTGGGCGAAGTTCAATGATTTGCTCACCAGGCATGGGCATCGTAGCTATATTTCTGCCTATGGCGAGCTTGCCTGGGGGTAAAACGATTGAAACCCGGTGGCATTCCTCATTTCAGGTTTCGGACATATTGTGGACTCCACAGAATTTGAAGCAGCGCCAGCCAGTGGAGGGCAGGATTGCTCAAATCGACCCGTGCCTGGAATTTGGTAGGTTGGGGTATTCTGATGTGAGCAGGTGAACATGCTGTTAGCTTAATCTCGACTTGGGCACAGGGAGCCAAAACCCAAATTCGGCCACAAGAGACTCCCCTAAAATCAAAATGCCCCCCAATTGGGATTCCTTTCTTGGGACGGACGCCATTCACCAGTTTCTGTTTCATGTTCACCACTCTGATCAGGATAGCCCTAGAGGGCCAACCAATTGGGTGTTTCTCAAAGCAGGGTTTCCCTAAATGGTTGGCCAACATGGCCAGCCAAAAAGGGTCCGAAATCCATTTTTGAGAACCACTCAGGCACAACAACTGACAGAGGCCCTCGTGTTGAACTGCGCGCGCTGCGCACGCAGGCGCCATTTTCGGTGTGGCGCTGCTCCTAGTGCCGCCGGCTGAGAACGAGGCAAAGAGGACCCCTGGTAGCCTCCGAAACCACAAGCAACCCAGACGCACAGATAGACACAGAGACAGAGGACCTTAGTATCTGCTCTGTCGCCTGAGGCAGATCTTTCCAGACGGGCCCTTCGGCGTTGGCCCGGATTGGTGGTTTCTCCCGGCCGGGAATCCAAGAAGCCCCAGAGAGGAGATTAGATACTGCATCCAAGTGGTGCCCGTCTCCCCGTTTTGAAGCTGAAAAGTCCAACAAGATTGGCAGCTGCACGTGCCTAACCAAAAGCAGCACAACCTGATTGTGATTCAACCCTTCTCCCAAGAACTATTTTGACTTGGTCCTTGTGGGCAAGGTTCCCGACACAAGCTTCACCATTGCAACTGCTTGCAAAACTGATCATGAGGCCAAAGCCCTCCGCTGCCCCGAAGGAATGTCTGTTTGCCTGGAACACGTCGTTTGGCTTAGCTCTCCAGTGACCTTCACAACACTCCCTTTTTGTCGGCCCGTTCTCTTGGCGATCGCACAGATCATCATCAGCCCATCTGCGGGTGTCTACTATTGGCAGCGCGCCTTCAGGCGGGGGTTGGGGGGCAGGTGACTTTCGTTCCGACACTTCACCCAGGCAGGAGCCTGCTGACCTTGATGGGGCCCCGGCAATGTCTTTCTGAACGCGTTGAGACATGACTCAGTCGGGACCTTGGGGGTTTTTCAGGTCGGACCCCGGGCCTTGAGCTGTCCCGCGTTTGCAGTCTGGCCATCCGAAATCAAAACGCCCGCCTCGGGGGATGTCAGGGCCCAAGCACGGCTTTGTACCAGCTGTCCGCGCGATGTTGTTTTTTCTGTTTTTCCTTTTTCTGGAAATGCGGGTGGTTGGGGGACGTGTCCGACCGGATTCTACCAGATGGCCATAGGTCAAAATCCCGTACCCCCAGTGAACATCCCAATCCCCACTAAAATCCCGACCAAAATGGGGTGGTGCACCTACCAACCAAAATGGGATCCCATTAATTTTGACCCACAGATTCCCCGCAAATTGAGGGGACAATTCCTGGGTTCGGCGGTTCGGAAGGAAAGACATCGTGGAGCTGCAGCTTGGCATGTCCGATGACTTCATGGAGACCACGCTGCTGGTTCTCGGCTCCCTGGACTCGCAAGCGACCGTCCGCGCAATGGGAAGCGAGTAAATTCCTGGTGACCTGGTTGATTCATAGGGGGTGTCCTTTTGTCAGGATCCATCCGTGTTGGAGGGGGACCCCCCCAATAGTAGGATGGGTTTATGAATCCGGGTCATCATTTGCCGCGATGTTAGAATTGGTTGGAAGCTGGGGTTTTGAACTCGCCTGGGATCCAAAACGGCTCTATGATGTTGACTCCCCGAAGTTGCAAGGTTTTAGAGCCACATGTTCTTGTGTGGGAATCCATGTTAATACCCTCCCTCCCAAGATGGCGCTTGACACGAGGTCCCTTCAGGACGGGCCAGGTAAATCCCGGGCAACGACGCGCATGTTGGGATGCTCGCGCATGGGGAGGACACTATTGAGGAGCTCCAGAGTGGCGTCCGCTTCCAGCCGGGGACGTCAGTGAAGCCGCATCAGTCGTTTTGAGCAAATCCGCCAGGCGTCAAAGACACGGGGTTGTGGACTTTCTATAAAGGCCCATAAGCAAATGGAATGGGGTTGTGGAGGCCTTTAACACCAAACAATGTCCAGGTCATCAGAGAATGAGGTGTCCAATTGTTCAGCCCCGGACAAACTCGCTGGCGAGTTCCAAGAACTGTTTTCACCGATGGGAGCGTGGGAGACTGCGGAGACATTTTGGCTGCCATGGAGTCTCAGAAAATACCTCAGAAAAGTCAGGGTGACTAAATATGAAGCAGTATCAGAGAATCTTACTTTAAGCGTTCCGCAGAGTTAGGCCACTGTGGGCGCTTCGGTTGAGGTCGGACAACGGCAAGCTGTACAGGCTCATGGAGAAGGCCGGCCGAATCCGACGGCAACCGCTGCGGGAAGAACATCAGGGAACTAAAGAGCACACCGACCATTTGGGGGTCCATTCTAGACAACTCAGTTCCCTGAAGTTCTGGATAGTGAACTTCCAAGATCTATGTGAATCTCTCTTCTAAACGTGTTTCTCACTTCCAAGAACTTGGAAAAACCTTTTTTCGTGCTACGCACCATACTCAGACTTTCTTTGGCCCTCAAGGGAAAGTTCAGTTTGGGGCCCTTGCTTCGAAAGCACGAAGCTGGCTACCCAGCAAAAACCTTCCAAGTCGCATTGACATCAAACCATGAAGAAATCAGCAGCTCGCATCGGCAAAAGGAAGCGTTCGGGACAACCAACCAGGAGCCAGGATGGGGGACGGTTCGCAGAGTGCTGGGACCCAGTTCACCCTTCGATCGCCCCGCTCGATATGTTGAGGTTGGCGACTCCAGTTGGTGAGTTGATGTTCAATCACATGTCTTGTATAGCCTGTCTGGCCTGGATGAATGATCGCCGCATCCGATATCAAGTTTTTCCTCGACGGGCTCACAGGAGAAACCCCTAACCTGAAAGAGATGAGAACATGTGCATTAGACATATTTGGCTGAAGGTGCCATCTAGTTTGCTAGCTTGTAAGCTGCCCTTTTGTGTCATCAAGCAATCCGCACGTCAGCACGTCTTTTCTGAGCTCGTGAGCTGCATGCAGGTTACGCCATGGCTGCCGCTTTGCATTTTGCTTCTCAGTGCACCGCTCACTGTGCTGTACTTTAATCGGTATTCATGGCAGCTTCACAGCCAGGCTCTGGAACTACGTTTGAACGCAAGCTTACCTAACACGTGGAAGCAGGGTGACAACATCATTAATGAGTCCCTAGAAGTGACGAGGCAGGAGCAGCCTGGCAACACGTCCCTGGAACTGCATGTTTTGCAAGAAGTGACGAGGCAGAAGCAGCCTGGCAACACGTCCCTGGAACTACATTTTTTGCAAACCGATGAACTTGTGAACCGTTCCATAGCTACTTTTTTGGGCCACTGGTCGCCCAACCTGGAACTGCAACATCACAATCTGCGGGGAAAGGACATGGCCAGCTACAACATCAGTTGCGCGCCAAAGGTTTGGCTCCTCCTGTCCGGCCTTTACCGCTCATTGAAGTTTGTCCGGGCCACCATGGTCGACTCTCTTCGGCGCACTGCTGGGGATTGTTGGTTTGTTACCTTGCTGGCATCTTCAGAGAAAGGCATTGATTTGGCCGTTTTTGAAGACGATGTGCGCTTTTTTGAAGGACGATTTGCCTTCATCTCCGTGATTCGGCATGGCCCAGCTCTGCAGACACCTCGCTTGCAAGCCTTTCCTCATATTTGTTTGTATTTTTTCGTATTGCTTCTTTTCTATTTTCGCTTTTTGCTTGGGGCTGGACAACTGCATATACTGAATAGCCAAGGAAAGCATACAATTACCCTGTGCATTGGTACGGTTGCTGGCTGATTGGTCATGTGATCCGGGAGTCCTTGGTTGAGGCTTTTTCGGATGCGGACAGCACCATCGTTCTGCGCCACCGGCCGGACGAGTGCTTCCGAAAGTGTTTTCACCTGGAGTCGGCGCGGCGGGTCTTTGCTCGTTGGCGCTACCTGATTCTCGGGCAGCCCATCTCGGGAGACAACGGCCTCACCACCAATTGGGCAACATACACCGACATCATTGCCGCTGGCTTCATTTTGGACCCAAAGGCGAACCCCATTGAATATAAAGCGGCCCTCTCAAGCAGCTGGAGCTCCCACGAATACTGCCACGGCATCACGCATCCGAAAGAATGCAATGGGCGCATTCCATACTGCCGCCTGAACAACAACACCGCCCCTTGCCGGCCCCCCATTTTCCTGAGCTGGGAGCAGCATTGCTTGTGCCGACTGCGAGGAAAGGAGCCCACCTTGTCATCCTGGTGCATTGACAAGAAGCCTCCCGATAAGCCCTTGAAAAAAGCCTGCATTGAGCCTCGCTCGCGATTAGCAGCAATTCGTTTCTTTTTCAACTGAGCCAGTTACTCAAAACCCGGGTGATGAAGTTTAGTAAAGAATAATCCCAACCAGAAATGAGTCCTCAAATGGGTGCAGCCGGCTCCTTAATTCATGAAACATGGTGGGATTATGACCATGTCCATACTGATCGGTTTTGATTGCGAGCGGTGACTTTCAAAACCCACCAAAAAGCCCCCAAACAATTAAAGACAGACCCAGAGTACGTACAAACTCGCTACGCTACCTCGGACCAACAGCCGGAAGCTCCCCTCATTGGTCCCTGTGAGCTGCCATGTTAGCCTAGGGTAGACACGTCTGAAGAGACACCAACTTCTTCTTCTTTTTTTGTGGGGGAGGGGTGTCCCCCCCCCGAAAAAAAAGACACACCGAGGACATCACAAAGGGCACCAAATGCATCCTGCCGCGGGAGAAATGGGCATCTCTGCCGCTGGAGCTACAGCCTCCCGTGGAGCAACGGCAAGGCGGCTTCGAGGACTCAGGCGAAATTGGCCGGAGCCTCAGAAAATCGCGCAAAAACATGCATTTGGTGCGTGTCCCTTTTTTTAAGGGGAGTGGAGCCCAGGTACCAGTGTACATACCCCTTTTTTTTACTTGTGTGTGTCTTGTTTGGTTCCCAAAATGGCTCTGTGTGTGTATTCCTTTTGGCTTCCCTTTAAAACCACAAGAAAGGGTGCCCTCAAAAAAGACACACGCATTTGTGCTATAGCCAGCACCAATTTTCAAAGAAGGTTTGTTTTGAAGGCGCAGATTTTCAGTGTTCCGGATATTCGCACTTAGACGATCAGCAGTCGCGCGATTCGTGTCCCGTTTTTCAGGATTCGCTATAGTTTCCCCTTTGACTTTGAACATACCTTTTGGACCAATTTAAGGCGAGCTTCCTTTGAGTAGGGCGATTCTTTAAAGGGACATAGCAGCCCCATGTGTTTTTCTTTTCTAGCGTTTGACGCCTTCATTGTGCGCTTCGTGGAGGGCCCTGAGTGCGTGACAATTCAAACGGGGTGTGACTGGTAGGTGGCCATAGGTTTTGTTAAGATGCGTGATGCTTTGCAAGAAGCACTTGGATATGCAAGAACTTCGCAGTTTGCCAAATGCCGCAAATGAGAAAGGATATCTTCAAGGGATCGAGTCCCGCAAGGCCGGTGGTCCAGGGTGGAAAGTAGTGAAGCAGTATTTGTGGTTAAGCATCTGCACCGGATCGACTCGGCAATCCTAGTTGGGCCTTCGTTTCTGTGGAACCTGGAACATCGCCAATCTGGTCGTTGTGCCTCTTGCCCAGGTTACATGAAGCCTCTGAAGGGCTTCAAGACGTGTCGCACTGGTCGGGATTTGTAGTGGATGTGATTTTCTCCCGTGTCCGGCAGCGCGCCAAAGTGCCGCGAGAAACCGAGAGACGAAAAACCGGTCGCCTGGCTTCAGGTTGCAAAGGCGAGCCAAATCGAGAGCCAGAAGTGTGTGACAAGCGCTGGCACGTCTTCAGCGTCCTTTTTCCTTTAAGCGGTCGGCTTGCTTTTTGTCCTATGAAGAGCCAAGCGGATTCTACTAAAGGGATAAAATAGCAAATGTTTGATGGACCGGCAACAAGCATTTGGTTGTGTGTCCAAATCATAGGACCCCCCCCCAAAAAAAAGAAGTGGACCAAGCAAGCAAGCAAGCAAGCAAGCAAGCAAGCAAGCAAGCAAGCAAGCAAGCAAGCAAGCAAGCAAGCAAGCAAGCAAGCAAGCAAGCAAGCAAGCGATCGAGCAAGAAAGCAACCGAGCGAGCGAGCAAGCAAGCAAGCAAGCAAGCAAGCAAGCAAGCAAGCAAGCAAGCCAAGCAACCTACCCGGCAAGCAATCAGCGCACCTAGCGAGCAAGCGAGCAAGCAAGCAAGCAAGCAACCTACATAGGAAGCAAGCCAGCAAGCAAACAACCTCACCAAGCAAGCAAGCTACCTAGCAACCAAGCAACCAAGCAACCAAGCAACCAACCAACCAACCAACCAACGAACCAACCAACGAACCAGCCAACCAACGAATCAGCCAGCCAACCAACGAACCAAGGAACCAACGAACCAAACAACCAATGATTTGTGAAACCGATGATTTCCTTCTTCTTCCGTTCCCCTCGGTTTCGAACGCCTGCGTCAGGGCATGGAGTTCCAGCCTGGCATCTTCGAGAGCAACGAGGCGCCGTTGGAATCCGGGTGGGGAGGACCACGTTTTGGTTGGGGAGAAAGGAAAACCAAAGGGAGACCAACAGAAAAGCAACAGCAACCAAAAAGGCAAATTACATGAGACTTGAAGGAAACCAACAGAACACTAACATGAAATCAAAGCCAGTGCTTAGTTCCCTTTTTATGTGGCAGGTACTATTTTTTTCGGAAGAAATCCTGCACCACCTGAATAAGAACATTCTCGTCCTTAACATTGTTTTTTTTTTCTTCGAAAGGCACGCGCGCCGAACCGTGCAATTAACGAAAATCCTGCACCACCCTCACGCATCTGTTCAACGTTGAATTAGGGGCGAGGGGTTTGCACCCTGTGACCTTTATGTGGTTCACACCCTGAAGCGGTGCAGGATTTCTTCCGTCAACCGAACAATAATATCAGTTTGCACAAATTCCAGCACTGAGCCAAACGCTCAGTCAACGCTCAGTTAACGCTACAGTCAATGCTACAGTCAACGCTATGAAAATGCTACCAGAAACAGCAGTTGGAGCAGATTCCTTTTTTATGGGAGTTTTAAGGTTTTCAGGATAATTCTGTGGACCCAAAGCAGAAATGCTGGCCCTGCCAGCATGTTGGTAGCGTTGACTGTAGCGTTGACTGTAGCGTTGACTGTAGTGTTGACTGTAGCGTTGACTGTAGCGTTGACTGGGCGTTGACTGAGCGTGGACTGAGTGTTGAAGCTAAGGACTGAGGCTGTAGCTGGCAGTTCTGGTGCAACAGTCCAGTTTTGCCTGCAATCGCTTGAATGTCATCTGCAAGCAGTCTGAGAAAGTCGCGCAATCTCAGCAGTGTGGGACTCTGCGCGCAAATTTTACCTTGCTTAGTACCACGTTAGAAATGATCATCCCGGTCACTGGGCCCTATTTCTGGGGCAAGCCCATTGGGGAATATGTTTGCGAGGGTCACCTTGCATATGTGTACTTGCGTTGCTTTCCGGGGAAATTTCGTCAAGGGCTGGCGGCACCAGTTGCTTAACACCACTTTGCTGGAATGTGAAAGGAGTTTCAAACAAAGCTGTTGGTTGTTTTACGGTCAGCCACCGGCCACGATATTTCAATTTGCAAATGATGGTCCACTGCAACATGCTGCAAGGAAATTCAACAAACCGACAAAATGACAAACTACAAACTCATGTGCAGATATGGGTGTGGTCTTTTTTCGGACCCCACAATGGTGGTTTAAAACCACCAAACATGGGTATCCTCAAAACAGACACACCCATACTCATACACGAGGTTGCACATAGAGAGACGGCAGGCAGATTTGGACAGGACGCCCTCGAAGCTTGGCTCGGCACCAGAAGTTTATTACGCTGGGCCCAAGTTTGAGGGGCTGGGTACTTGAGGCACGCGTAGATTATTTAGTTCCCGCATCCCCGTCCAAGAACACAGCCCTCCAGCAACCCGCGTCCAGTTCTCGAGGAGAAGCTGTGTGCCGAGAAACAGTTTTGACGTTTGTAACCAAAAAACTGTTTGTCAAGAAGGCAGAACTTTCAAGTTTCATCCAGTTCTCTTTTTCTACCCATCATGGGTCTTGGGTTTGTGGAGGATCCCCGGTTTTGGCACCTTTCCCACTTCGGATGTCCCAGATGCCCCGGATGGAACCAACCTCCCGGTTTTCCTGCCCAGGGTGTCAAGGTCTACCGTGAGAAGCGGCCGGCAAAGGCGCCCGAGGTGGGATCTCATGGATTTGGGGATGTGTTTGGGTTCTTTTCAAGGGAAGCCAAAAGGAAACCAACTAGTTCAGGGATGTTTAGGATGCCCCGAATTTGAGAAGCACCCCAATTGATGCAGCTGCATTGACTCTCAAGTGATTTTGGGTAGACCTGCTCTTTGCAAGCATGCGAGAATCACCATGACTCCGTTTGCCTTGCTTGCTTGATATTTGTGTTTTAAGCTGACTCTTTGATGGTCTCTCATTCACAGCACTTCACCTACACTCCAATACCGCTTTTACATGCACCCATCGTAGCAAACACACACAGAGACATAATAGTAAGTTGGTTGTTTGTATTAAATGTTGTGTGAATGGGCATGCGATGTTGTGCAACGCATGCAGAAGCACAGCCGCGAGTCCGTTTGCAGGCCGGACGTATGCGTGGGTGTGAGTAGGTACATTGAAAGAGGCGGCGTGGAAAAACACGATGTGAAGCCCTGATTCATACGGGCCCTCACCCCTTTCACGTTTTGGAACATCCCAGTTGTGGAGGACAAGCGCGTGACACACCCCAGAATCCAGACCCTCTAGCCCTCTCCTGGTCCTTGCTTGGCCAAACGTAGAGCATGAATTGAGGTTTATCCTTCAAGGGGTGCCTTTATACTTTATAAGCTCGCCACATCTTAAACAAAGTATAGCAACAAGCCGGCTATTTCTGTGTGTTTGTGTGCTAATTATTTGGATGCGTGGAATGGCAATGCTGCCCAGGCTTTGGAAAGAACTAGGGTAGGCCATGTTGCTGGGTCAAATTGTTTAGTTTTGCCGGTGCCAAACCGAAATGCGCCATGCTTGTGTCCGAAGGGATCCTCAAGGCTTTGAACCTGCTATTCACTGGCGAAGGGCCGCGATGCTGTGACAATGCTGTGGATGAAACAACTATGTCCAGGATTTGTCACGACTGGCACAGGAAGCTGCAAGCCAGCCAGTGAGTGAGAAAGCATGAGGGCGATGCAGGCAAAAGCAACAAACCTACGGGGCTCGAGCCAATGCAGCGAATTGAGTTTGCTGCACCTCCAAATGACTGGTAATTTGTGGTCCATTTGGGCAGGGCATGCGGGGACTCCCCGAATCTCGCACAAACACCAGAAAGACTCATTGAATTTCCCATGTCCCTTTTGGGGGATTTTGTCCGGAGCTCGTATACAAGGAGCAATTTGGTAGTCATGAGGAAAAGCAAGCAGTTTTGCGTGTTCCCTTTTGTTTCCTTTTAAACCAGCAGAAAAGGAGTGCCCTCAAACACAAACTCACAGACACAGAACACATGAGCGTGCACCCTTAGTGCGCATCGCCACAGGCGAGGTGAGTCTCACTTCTCGTTTTGCGGCGCTCATTGCCTGCCAGTCACGGGATCTCTGTCGTAATCGGCTGGCTGTGGAACTGGGGGGTGAAGAGGCCAGTCCCCATTTGCAATTCAAAATAATGCCATTTTCTCCTGGTGCTTGACAACCACGACATGCACTCCTCTTGAAGAAGTACTGGTAGTCCGAGAATTCAACCATTTTATCTTGAACGCCGTAGCGCCCCGAGTCGGCGGCTAGGCGACCGCAGCCATCTGCAAGCGGCGATGTTCACGACATTCTCGCTGGCCGAGCCTCGCCCGGAACCAAAGGATTCAAGAAGAAGGATATCATATCATATTATATCCTATCATATCATATCATATATCATATATCACATATCATATTATATCATATATCGTATATCGTATATCATATATCATATCATACATGCATACATACCATATGTACAGCGTGGGGCGGACCAAGAAGTGGTCATGTTCATGAGCATGGTCATGCAAGGTGGGGCAGAAACACATTTTTGTTTGGGTCCTTAGCTGTGCTTTACTTCTGCAGTGTGCAGTGCGCGGTGGGTCTGAAATGGCCAGGGCGCAGCCAATCGTTTTCATAGCCACTTGGAAGGCCAGGGCTCGGTGCGCGACACGTTTCTTGTTTCACTTGCTTCGCAAGGAGTCTCCATGTGGAGGACAAAAGGCGAATTTGAGAATGCATGCGGCTAGAGGTTTGTGCGTTGTTGGGATGAGTTGTCCCATGTCGAATTTAGTGCTCCAGCACTCGCTGCGTTTTTGGGCTCGAGTCGGAGTGGTCCATCGCTTACTGACGGCGAGCTGTACTCATGCCAAGATCTTCAAAGCAAGCATCAAACCTACCTACTGGTTCAATTCAATTGACATCCTCTAAGTTACTCTTTAAATGGCGGTTTAGAGGGAAGCCACCCCCCAAAGCAACTTTGAAGCCCTCTCACACTGCTTGCGGGAGCTGGGGGAATTGGCAACTGTGGGCCTTCTTCCTGGTATCGGTCCCGGCATTTTCTGGCCCGCATCGATTGGCACACCCAGAAAAACAGGACGAAGGCAGTGAGCGAATCCCCAGCTTCGCGGGTAACAATTTAGAGACCATGTGGGTCCTGTACTAGGCCCAATTCTGACAAGGGATTCCCCAAAGTCCAGCGATTGGCCTTCAAGCTACCCTCACAAAGGCCTCCACACGTCTGGAAGGTCTCCCTGAACTTCCTGTCAAGCCTTCCTGCGCTCGTTTTGGGCCGCCCGCGCACTCCGTGCGTGCGGCCGGATGTTTGCCGAGCGGGAGGCCCAGCGTTTCCGTTGGACACAGGCTCCGGAGTTTTAGGTTGCCAGTTGTGCGAAAGGAATCTGAATCGGGGCCAGGATCTGATACGGTCTGATAGTTGGCCCCCAAACGTCAAACATGTTTTTTTGCGCTCTCTGCGTCGTTTTGGCAAAGTGGGGCCTCCATGCACTTTGGCTGCTTGCTTTCGGTTATCATATGTGCCACAGTTTCGGCAAGTACCTGGCAAAGAAAGATCGCCTGGTACTGGGGGCCAAGAACACCTCATGCATGTCTGCGTTTAGGAACTGCAGCAGCTAGCAAAAGTGCATCCAGGCTTGTCTACGAGGGCCATTGAAAACACAAGGGGATTTCAAGGTGATGTGCTCCATTCGCTGGAACATGTGCGCGGTTGGGGGGGGGGTTGGCGTTCGGGGGTTGGGGGGTTGGGGGGGTTGGGGGGTTGGGGGGTTGGGGGGGTTGGGGGGGTTGGGGGGGGGGGTTGGGGGGGTTGGGGGGGTTGGGGGGGTTGGGGGGGTTGGGGGGGTTTGGGGGGTTGGGGGGGTTGGGGGGGTTGGGGGGGGGGGGTTGGGGGGGTTGGGGGGGTTGGGGGGGTTGGGGGGGGTTGGGGGGGGGTTGGGGGGGTTGGGGGGGTTGGGGGGGTTGGGGGGGTTGGGGGGGTTGGGGGGGTTGGGGGGGTTGGGGGGGTTGGGGGGGTTGGGGGGGTTGGGGGGGTTGGGGGGGTTGGGGGGATATTTGAGGGACATTGTACTTCCCCCAGGCCTACACCAGGTTCAATTTTAACGTCTCCGGCTCAGGCCGCGAACATTGCAGGCTTGCTTTCTTCTTTGCGTCCCTTTGGAATTGTCCCATTGGAAGTTTTCCTTTGGATGTTTCCCATCGCCATTGAAATTGTCCCATTCAACTTCTCCCCGTGGAAGTCTCCCCGCAAAATCTCGTCCCCTCTTCCCCCCTAAGATCTTTCCCCCCTTCCCCTCTAAGATCTTTCCCCCCCCGTCCCCCCTGAGATCTTCGGCCCCTTTTTCTCCCTAAGATCTTTTCCCCGCTTTCCCTGTTGAGATCCTTTCCCCCCTTTCCCCTGCTAAGTCCTTTTCCCCCCTTTCCCCCCCTGAGATCTTCTCCCTTTGCCTCCCCAAGATCTTTTCCCACCTTTCTCCCTCTAAGATCTTCTCCCCCCTTCCCACCCGCAATAGTCTGAAACTGTGGATCTAGGGAGGGGTCAGGGGAGGGGTAACAGGTAAAGAGGTAAGGAGCATTTCTTATGTCCAACACACCGTCTGTTGTCGGCGGATATTGACTCAACGACGGAGCATCGAAACATTGGTCATAGTTCGAGACAAGAAGCGGGCGTTTCTGGAAATACGGCAAGCTATGTTGTGAGTTGTTTCAGAATGAAGCTTTCCATTGAAGCATCAGCCAAACGGAGGTTACCAATCTTGAGCCCCCGCAACCACCAGTGGCGAACTTGTTTGGGCTAGTTTGAAAAAGAGCAATGCCCCTACGGATTCAACCACTCGGGGGCTCCTAGCAGTGATTTCGCTATCGGAAGGATTGGATGCAGCCTGTGTCACCCTTCGCGCGGCCATTTGAAGGCGGCGGTAGTCAAAGTTGATTCAGGATGTTCAAGCTACTTAGTAAGTAAGTCAGAACCATTGGATCGACTTAGTAAGTAATCCCTTCCCCCTAGTAATAAACGCGGACCCCAACAAAACATAACTACTCTCTGGGGGACAAAGCATATTTATTGGTAGGGTCCTGTGGGGTCGGCCGGATTTCCTCTTCGGTCCTCGCCCAAATGGGTTCCCCCCTTCCTTGCTTTTTTTTTGGTTTGTTTTTGTGTTTCTTGTAATTATTATGTTTCGTTTTTGCTGTTCGAAAGTAAAGGGCGCCGTTTAAACTTAGAATTACAATTCAAGAAAGAAATGTGAATTAGTAGAAGGCAAGTATGCATGTAGAATTTGGTATTGGGTTGGGGCAAGGAGACCCCCAATAAGGCTGGGGCTGGTCTGGGCGGAGACATCGGACGGTTTAGTATTCGTTTTGAATTGGGCTATTCTAAAAGTAGTATTGGGGACCCGGCTGTTTCAGCCAGTCTGGAAAAAATAGTATGTATTAGTAGGGTCTATTTTTCCAAAGGGGGGAAGGGGTTAGGTCATAGCGTAGGAAAGGTCATAAGCATTGTAAGGGAACCAGCCCCAATCATGTCTCGGTCATGCCTCAGTGAACCTTAGCAACCATCAACTCAAGCTGCTTTGAGGCCCTTTGCGCTGCCGCCCCATGCCGACGTGTGCATCCCGTGCCCGGGGCAAATGAGCATGGATGCAGCTCCCGCGTCTTACCCCGGGGCTGGGGCAAAGGGAAACCAAAAGGAGCCCGCTCAGTTTGAGAATCGGGAAACCCGATTCCAACTTCACGCATGTGGGTTCGTCTCGCAAGGATGGCCATATTGGCACGGAGCTTCGTGTGAACAAGACCCTTTGAGGCTCCGAGCGGGCCCACCATTTAATTCGGGGACTCAAGAGCAGGGCAACGTTTCCTTCTGGTTTCCCTTTCCAACCAAACAGGGTACCCTCACAATTGGAGACCCAAATGTGCTGCCAATTTTGAGAGCCGACTTGACTGCCAGGTATGTGCGGCATACCTTCCTGTCCTACCCACCCGAAAAATGGGCCGATGTCCGTGGACCGGGGCCAGGGGGGGGGGGCGCTGTGGTATCAAAGGCCTAGGGCGTCAAAAGCATGGGCAACGCTCATTGTTGCATGACTTTCTGGCTGTTTTTTAGTTTGAGGCAATGTTATCTTAGTGTTTGGTGCCTTACGTTTGTTATTTCTATTTCGGAGTTTGTTAGTGTTTGTTGCGGAGTTGCACCATCAATGATGGCAATGCCAGATGGGTCAACCGGAGGATTAGCATGTTGAAGTTGAAGTAGAAAGATGTGTATTTGGCTAACCCCCACCCCGAGGAATCACACCATGCGCACATTCACACCAGCGTAACATAATTTTCAAGCCATTCGTGGGTATGTGCTAGTTTGAGGAACATGACATCGCATTTTTCAGTGCTTACCTAGCTGTCACAACTAGCAAAGTACAGGAGCAACCCTATGATTTGCCTTTGAGCTAGATGGATTGGCCCACAGTTCCATTCGGAAAGCGACCCGTTGGTCCCCGGAGGACGCAGCCGGTCCGTGGAGGTGCGGGGCTGCGACAAATACGCGCGCGAGGCCAGGTAGCCCGGTTTCGAGATGGCGGGGTCGCTTGGATTTTTCCGAGTGTTTGGATTCGAAGCTTTAGGGGAAGACCATTTGTGTGAGCTAGGTGCCCCAGCTAGGTGCCCTTTTACCCTTTTTTTTGGTTGGGAGGGTTCCCCTACCAAAATAGACTACAGGAAAAAAGGGTACCCTTATTCTAACCTCTCTACTGGAGGACCATTTCTGTGGCAAATTTGGAATCTGGACTTTGTTCCAATCCACTCGATGCCAGGAAAAAAAGGCTTTGGGCAAAATGTCTTTGGTGTACTTGTTCATGGGCTGAGCCAAATCTGGTCGATCAGTGAATTGCTCCGAGAAGGCTGAGGGATCAGCAGCGCCCAAATCCCTTGTGAAGAGGGTTCGACTACCTGGTGTGCTATGGCTATGGGTGATTGTCCTCTTGCTGGCAATTCATGTTTGTTTACACCGTTTGATTTGCGTTGTTTGGCCAACAAAGCAAGCTTTATGCAGACAGTTTGTTTCTTGTGGTAAAGCTATTGTTTGACTCTATTTATTTGGTTTCATGTCTGTCATGGGAACAGGGATAGCGAGACCAAACCACACCTTTCGCACCCTGCAGCCACAAAGGCCGGAATTCGCTTTCCGCGAGGTGCACTCGCTGATGTTCAAGGTGCAGCCGTTGGAGCGGGAGAAAGGCCCTGAGAGAGGCTGGGTTGGAAGGAAGGGAGGGAGGAAAAAAAGGGAAGGGAAGGATCCATGCGTAGGTGCAGTGTCCCGTGGTTTGCGGACGCCAGATGACAACATGTTGGCCCTGGATGATGTTGGAGACCAATGACAACCCCGGCATTTGGATTGGAGGCGCTGCTTTTAAGGAAGCACACGCAGACACACACACAAGCACACGAGCACACGAACACAAACACACACATATATATATATATACATATATATATATATATATGTATATATATATATATGCACGTGCAGAGAGATAACAAACTACCAAACAACCAAAACACGCAAACAAACGAGCAAACACGCCAGCTTAGAATCGCACAGTGGCACAACCTCTCATATACACACACCCAGACACACACACACACACAAAGAGACAAACAGACAGACGAACCAACAAGCAAGCAAACAAACAAGCACACGCAAACAGTCACACAATCACACAACCACACCAACACAACAAACAGAAAAAGCAAAGAAACAAACAAACACACAACCACACACAAACACAGAGCCACACGCACACACAGGCTGACACGACACACAGCCACATCCTCAATGCTTCCAAAAAAGGAATCCCCCCTTTTGGGTGCTTTCCACAAGCTTTGAGAGGACACCTACACGAAGTGAGTCATGTTAAGGGTCCCTTTTGAGAACCCACAAGGAGCGAGGCCATGGCCACCGAGGCAGAAGCTTCTCGACGGAGTCGGACGTGGCAGACCCCGGAGAGGTGGGCACGCGCCTGTGGGTCCTTTGGCACTCGGAAAGGCCCCACCCCAACCCCCCAAACCCCCCGCCCCAGGGCGGGTGTGTCATAGGAAACACCAAAAGTGATGATCATAAGGCAATGCGTGGCATACGTATACTTACGTAGGCCCTTCTATGTATTACGGCTGTTCGCTCATGCACCCAAGCCCCGCGCTCCGCGCCAGGAAGCCAAGCCTCCACCACTGGAGGCCGGGCCGCGTCGGGCGGAAGCCAGTTGACCCTCAAAAGGAGTTCCCTCTCAAAGCTGCGGCTTTTTGGGTTCCATGTTCCGCAGTCATTGAGCCAAAGAAGGCTGATGAGACCTCATGCCGAAGGAAGCGCGGGCTTCTGAGCGCAGACGTCTTACATTGCAAGGCTGCTTCGGCGTGGAACCTCGTGGTTTTGTTTCTTCAAGTTGCTGTGCGGTGAAGGTGCAAGAGCTCCAGCCCAGCCTTGGCCTAGTGGAAGCTGAAATTCGAGGCTGAATGGGGGACTCTACCAAATTGGTAGAACCCAAGTCAATGGATCTGGTTCCCTTGAAACCGTAAGGGAGACGTTCATTTTCACGGGAATGCATGCGATTCTGCGGATTGCCCAGATGTTGGCCTTTTTGCGGCGTGCGGATTCTCTTGGTTTTCATGGTTGGGTCAAGTTGCAGTTACAGTTCACCCCTTTTGTTCCCTCGTACAAGGCGTGATCCCGAGGGCAGTGATCCATGCCATCCCTTTCATGTTTTGTCATGAATCACTCAGAGTGCTTGAGGGAGATGTGAATCGGGGTTTACCATGAACCGGATAAACGAGCTGACCCAGAATGATCGCTTCCTAGCAGAAATTCCCAGTCTCTGAATTCCAACACTGTATGCAGATTCGATGAATGGATGAGGCAAAGCCTTGCCCATCACGATCGCCAGGCAGAGATCCTTGAGGAGATTCCACTAGACGAGGACGGGGCGATGGGAGAAGCTGGTGTGGGGAGTTTTTGTTGATCCAACGCTCATGGAAATTGGTTTCCTTTTGTACCGAAGGGGTGCCCTATCTTGGGACATAGGCTTCAACTTGTTTACACCGTCTATTTTTCGACACCCCCAAAAGCAGTCATGAATCACGCATAGATTGTAGTCATATTGTGTCCTTTCTGGGAGCCGTGACTCACTGGCTGATTTTGCTTCGCTTCACCAGCCTGCCCCCATTTGACGTGTGTCCAGATTCGAGGAACCATTGCGAACGCGCACTTGGATGTTCAACCCTAGTAAGTAGACTACGACCATGGTTACAAGTGGGGTGAGATGAAATTCCCTACAACTATGGTATTACTCTACTTACCTAGTGGGTTGAACATCAATCTGGACGTGTCGCAGAGCTAGTACAGGAGTGTTGCAGGACTGGTACATTTTTGTGTACCCCAGAATTGGGCCGAATTTCGTAGGGAGCGGTATTTTTGGTTCAAATAGAGATCGTGTTTTAGTTCATGTAATGTGATCAACTGATGTGGCCATGGGTCAAAATCCCGTACCCCCAGCAACCATCCCAATGCCCACAAAGATAGGTTGTAAAATGGGTGGTGAACTCACCTACCAAAATGGGATCCCAAAACGGTTTTGACAGCCATGGTGCCGAGAAAACGGGGGGCTGGGAGTGGGAGGTCATTCGCGCCGTTTTTCCGCCAGGAGGGGCAGCTGACCTCCATTGGCTCGGTGCTGTCGGCTCGCCCAAACGGATCCGGCTCGACTTTGGGGTCGCCTCTGAAGGATACGTTTCCCCCCCCCCTTTTCTTTTTGAAGGAGGACTAAAAGGACAGGTCAAGTCATCAACTATGGAACCATCATCCAAACATATGTTGTTTGGTGTACCCTGGCCCAAGCTTGAAACGGGGACCTCCGGCGGCGGCTTCGACAAGAGACTCACTTCCAAAAAGTGTCTGAACCTGAGGCACGTGGTTTTTGAAGAGCATTCTGGTGGTAAACGAAAAGGTCTGGACTTTTTGGCCATCGCTTCCTGAGTGAGGCGAACTTAGGCTGAGGCGACCATTTCGCCGGGAGCTGCCCACCGAAAAGCCTTGTGGGATGTGAAACGTTTGGCGGACCTATCATTCTTTGTCTAGCATGGGAGTCCACGGCTGTTTTGCAGAGGCTTCCATTTTGGGTCCATGTTTTGAGGGAACCATGTTTCAGGTTACCCTCCCTCCCACTCACGGTACAACCTCTTGGAGAGATTCCCTGTCAGGTGCCACGTTAGTGAAAGCCAGGGCAGTTTTATGGGAAACCAAAAGGACATTACCCATACACATACCCATTCGCCGAACTCGCTGAAGTTCCTGCATCTCGGGCCATCTCAGAATGCCCGATGTGCTGTGAGCCAAGCTAGCGGGGCACACTCCCAACCCTTGCTGTGGTTTGGTTCGGAAAGACCAAGGCCCTTCGCAGAGAAGAAGTGACATTTCGAGGACATGTTTGGGGATGCGCCCGGAAGAGCCCGGAAAAGCCTGGAACCTCCCGGGCCGGGCTCCGGGAGAAACGCTCCGAGGCACGGCAGTGGCGAGTGTCGCCCTTGCGCCTTCCTAGGCGCGGCCAGGAGTCAGCGGCTGGAGCGGGGCGGTGGGTTGCTTGCCGGCTTTGGCTCCTGGGCTCCTGGGTGGTTACTTGACTTGCGGTTTTGGATCCTGGGGATTGTGGGCTTCGCTTGTGGGTGGCTTGCTTGTGGTTGGTTGTTGCTGAGGGCACGAAAGCCACGGGCTCCGCTGGCTGGGCCCATTGTTTTCACGCTTTCGGGTTCTCAATGTCAGGAACTGAAGGTTTGTGTTATGCAACTCGGCCACTTGATGACTTTGGGGTAACAACATGCAGACCCTTATTCTTCGAGTCATTCACATGGTTCTCAAAGTTGACCAATCCTGAAATACCTTTTGTTTCCCTTTATACAAACATGCAGAAGGGGGTCATGTATATTTTGGGCCCAGATCAGTCCTTGAGCCGGGAGCTTTTGGCTTTTCGGAGACCTGTTGAACGGGTTGTAACAAATTGGGGCACCATTTTCGGAGTGGTTTTCTTCGAAAGCCGCCGGCGGATGTTGCCGCATTGTTCAACGGCTGCATTTGGCAGCCTCTCCGTCTAATACAAGAACCTACAGACGAATCATTCTCACAAAAAGTAATTTAGTTGACCTCTATATAAATATAATTATAGCTATATATACATATACATTACATATATATATAGATATACAATTACATTTCTACATTTGTATATATAAATACATACACGTGTATTGTATACGTTTGTATCTCTATATAATTTATACATATACACACATCCGAATGCCAATTGTTTAGGCCCTTATATCATTGAGAGGCGGACCAGTCGACGAGCGAGGCTCCGAGCGGCGGCCCTGCAGCAACGGCGCCGCATGCCTGCCGCGTGCCCAGCCTGCGGCGGAGGGGCGGCAGTGCTAGCAGTCAAGGCATTCAGTTTTTGCTTCTCTGAAAAACCAACCCCCCAAATATCCGGAACCCTCAAAAGAAGCCAACAGCTGCTCTTGTTTGTTTGTGTTCTCTTCTTCTGTTTTCTGGAAACAAATACGACTCACAGGTTCCTTCGTTCCCTGTCCAAATCGCATTTGGCGTGGGCAATTGCTGCGCCGTTTGTGGGACAGGTTCTGCCACCTCCCTCATGACCCTCGCCGCAAAGTTCGCCTGGGCCGCCGGAAGAGGCACGCCAGCACGCGCCGGCACGCGCATCCCTGGCGCTTGCTTGCCAAGCATAGGTGTCCTTTTTGGTTGTTTTGCTAGACAAATAGATGGCCCTGGTTTTTCCTTGTGGCTTAATCATCTACCAGAGCCATCTATTTCCCCTAAAAGGATACCTATGTTGCCAAGTTGAAATGGTCAGACCCTTGCCGGCTAGGGGAAGCAAAGGAAGTTGTTGAAACAGCGGGCGAAAACATCTAAGCCATAAGAAGGCGTTGGATCGCCCGAAGAGCAGGCGGCAACTCAAAGGGCCCCTGGGCTTCCAGGCACTGAGATGGTTTTCCGCTTGCTTCCCTTCCAAAAGCATTCGCAAGGTCCTTTGTTTTGAGACAGACCAGTAAGGAACAGAAGATCATGTTTACAGGGTTCCAAGAATCGAGTTGAAGCCGCGCTGTGGCCTTCCCAATGTCAAGAGTCGTTGCAATTTGAGCGACACGAATCTGTAGCTTTTGAGAGGATTGTCAAGCAGCTGTTCAGTCAAAGCTAGCCGAAGTTATTGCTAAGTCTGACCTAAAGCCACCCTACACAAGCCAAAATCAAGACACCCAAGAAAAGTAAATAAAACGAAGTCCAACCCAACTCTGATATCCTCACCAAGCCAACTCCAAGCCTCCAAGCCAAGCCTAAACCCGAACCATGACCCCAAACTTAATCTTATATCCAGCTTCAGGTCCTCAGAACCATTGCCAAGCCTCCCCAACCGAAAAAGCAGCGACGGGTTGTTTTTGGTTGCGGATGGCAACTCAGGCCTGTTGCGACAGCTGACGACCTTTTTGTGTTTTTTTTGTTTTGATCGCGTATGGGTTCCTGGCAAGACTTTCGTCAAATGCTGCGTTTTCTGTTTGATTCTGGGCTTGGGGCGGCCAACAACGGAAAACACAACAGTTCTTTGCTTGGCAGATTGGTTCCAAGATCAGCAAGGCCATTGTCTACACTGGCTACATTAGCAGTTGCAAATGCCTCCCGGAAGCAAAGTTCCGCATGGTGAGGGTGATCCATTGATCACCTGGTGAACCAGCAGCTCCGAGAAATATTCTTCGCGTGTTCTCATATGGCAGGAGCTTGCCCCACCATTCTCCTCCGTTGGATGCGTTCGCGTTTCATTTTTGGTTGGCGGCAGTGTGGACCCTGCACTTAAAACAGCCAAATATGACTGTTCTTTGATTTTTGGTTTCCTTTTGGTTTTCCTTAGCAACCATCAAGAATGGGGTACCC